CCTGCTGAAGTGGTAGTGACTGTCACTGGTTTTTAGCTATTGTGCAAAGACAAAATATTGTCTATTGCCAGACTGAGGCATACTTTGTCCTCTTCTGCTGCTGTTTACAATTAGTTATCTCTCCTGCATTATAATCCCTTCTTTCTGCGTTTTTCATCTTGATAACCTTTCCATATGTAAACCAGTTTGGTTTTTTTATGTCTCTGGTTAATGTTGTTAACCTGCAGCTGCGATGACTGATTGATTAAGATTGAAATCTGCTCACATGCAGTTTCTTCAGGACTTCTTCAAGCTATTTAATTTTGGCTAAAATGGAGGAGAGATCTTGCTTTTTTTTCTTTAAGTTTTTATTTTGGGAAAATGCCCCAAAATCAACCCACTTTATTCAAGTGTTTAACTGAAAGAATAATCTGTGTACCAATTAGAAATATTATCCTTGCATATTTCGAAAGTCACCGCAGCAATCATGTTTGAAATCTGGTTGAGCTGTTAAGTGCTGAATAAATTCTAACAGTATGAAGAAGCTTTTGGTCAAAGAAGTTGTGAGCATCAAAGCTTTGTAAAACTGGACTTCTTGACAAGTTATGTAGCACTGCACCCTTTCAGTCTTCAAATATTAACTGTTCCCAAAGCTTTAAACTCTAGGTTCTCAATAGTGGAGAAAAACATCTTGCTTAAAAATTTAAAAAAAACCAAGCAAACAAACCCCAAATAGAAACCAACAGAAAACTCTAGAAGTACTAACTGATGTAAGTTTTGCCTACAAGCTTACTGTTTAACTTTTGGCTCCTTAAGTTCGTGCTTGGAATCCTCCTTTGGGAAGCACAGTATTGGAAGTTAAGGTCATCCCGTGTAGTGCTTAGAATCACATCTGAGTGGAGTGCATAAAACACTTGGCACTGATTATCACTAAGTATACAAATTTGTGGTTTGTGTTTGTATTTGGTGTATATACCTTGGAGACGGTTGGATTTCTCAGGACTTTTTTCTATACCCACTTAGTGCTCTCTTGCTTATTTTCACAGACAAATGCAGGAAATGAACCAGACATGGAAGATGAACAAGTTTGCTGTGAAGCATTAGAGGTGATGACCCTGTGTTTTGCTTTGATTCCAACGGCACTGGATGCACTCAGTAAAGAAAAGGCATGGCAGACGTTTATCATTGATTTGCTATTGCACTGTCACAGCAAGTAAGTTTTGGTGGTTTTTTTAATTACACATTATTTTACCATTGCAAATTGTAAATAAAGCCTAAATGCAGAGCAGTGACTCCTTATTTAACTGATTTTTCTGCAGTTGTCTTAATTTATTGTTTAGTAATATAATTTTGTAATTCAGATACCTATCCTAAAGTGGCAGCTATATCTGTCTCGTCCTCTTTCTACTCATAAGGAGCATATTGTCAAGCCAGATGGATGCTTGAGAATGTGCTACCGATGGCTTTAGAACAACTTATTTAGAATAAAATAATAGGCACTTTATGCATTTCAGAAACTGTGTGAATACTCGTTACATTAGAATATTTAAGTGACTTAGGTATAGAAAAACTTTCTTATGCTTTTTTCTGGTAAGTAAAGATGATACATTGCTAGCAATTTGAGGAGAAGGGTGGAAGTTAAGATTTAATACTCTGTTCTTGCATTGGAGTGGTACACTTGTGACTCTGACGTGACTCACATGTTTTACATAGAGCTGTCACACTTGAGCTGTCACCTGGTGCAGTAGCAGCATCTTGGTGGAACCCTTAACACTGTTGGGGGCAGATGGACAGGGAAAACCAGCAGCGGCTACCACACCTCCAAGCTACAGTTCTCCTTAGACAACATCTGCCCCGTACAGTATCTGTCTCACATGCTTCTTATGAATTTTAGAACCATCGGAAGTTGTGATGTGAGGTATTGGGGTGTATGTTTTTAGAAGCCATCCAGGTGCGAAGTTTTTCTGTAGTATTATTGTTAAACTTAGAAAGTCACCAGTGCTTTGAGCTGTTACTAAAGATTTGATCCTAGGTTTGTAAGATATCTCTGCTGGTCTTCAATTAATATTTTAATTTTTCTTTGAGAAACGGCAGAGAGATCAGAAATTAGTGACGTTGTCTAAGCCTTTCAGTACATTTTAAATGGAGTCTGTGACGCTCTGAGATGACTGGGATCAGAATTTCAGCAGCATGGTTTGGGTGTTTTACTTCAGTTGGAAAAACTTATGTTCAGTAGTATTCACCATAACAAAAGGATCGATAGTATCATCAGAGTATCTCTTTATGATGAACTACTTACACACATTGGTGAAACTGTGGAGTGTTATTATCAAAATCCCACAAACTTTATTAGTTTGCTGCCTGTGATACGGGATGCTTTCATCTTTTAATTCTTTTGAATTTTCATCTTCTTTTAAGCTTGTTATTAAAAGATGCTGACAAATGTATGTTGTAATTTTACACATTAAATGAAACAAGCTGTCTTTCACTATTTTTGGTAACTTAAAGCTGATGAGTAAGAAATCACTAAATTTTATTTTTAAGACTGTCAGCAGTTGGTATCAAATTACTCTTTTGACAGTAAGTGTATCTTGAGCGTGTGTCAAATTTGTACAGTTGAATAGCATAAATAGTGCTGCCGATTCCTTTGATTTTGTTTTAAATTTTTTTTAATTTGGGTCCAAAGATTTATCAGATTTGTGGCTTTTTTACATTATCTTAATTGTACAAATATAAGTAATGGGTGATAATTTTTATAATAAATTCCACTGTAGTTACCTGACTTTCTGGTGTTGTATTTGGAATTTAAGTGACATTTTTCAAGTGTTCACCAGCATTTGTTTATGTTTCAGTTAGTGTTTGGTATCAACACTTTGCAGACAGAAGTATTTCTTTGCATATGAAGTTCAGAGAGTGGTTCTGGGCTTCAGTTTGTAAATAAGTCTGTTTGCCCAAATAATAACTTTGGACAGCCTAAAGATTATTATCTAATATAGCAGCGAAATCTGTGTGATCTCCGTGCTTATTTATTGGCAATATTACAACATTAAAACTTATGAGACTGCTTCTGGTATGACATGTCTCTCATGAAATGATCTTAAAATATTTCTTTAATCTTTGGATATCACAAACTGAGATTCTTGTCACTGTACGTGGGCTGGAAAGCTGTTATCGCAGCTAGAAATCTCTCTCCTTTTATTTTTATCTCTGCCACCATTTATCAGGTGTCAGGGTTAAAAGATTCTTATTTGCTATCACTTTCACTGGTTTGGGTTAATAGGCCAGGATTTTGTCATCAAGGATAAATAACTGGAAGAAGAAAATACTGGGATATTCTTTTGTTACTATGAATCTATTTTGTAATCCTTCCCACTCTAAAAATGCTGTACCCATAATGCCTTTTTTTTGCTGCCAGAACTCACAGAATAGCTGTGTTGATATTTACTTTAAAAACAAACAAACAAAACCCCCCTAGAATGAGTACATTTAACTGTTAATTGGTTACAGAAAATAATTAGTTTGCTTTGTTTTACATCACAGCACAATGTAAAATATTGAAACAGGTACTAGCAAGATAGCAATGTTCCAAATAGTCCCAATGACAAATGTACACCAAAGATGGCTTGTTCACAATTCTTTGTCTTTGAAAACTGCAGATGCTCTTTGTGAGGTTTGTTGGGGTTTTTTTTTGTTCTGGTTGTATTTCCGTAATGAAGTGAACTGTTGATTCAAATCAGGAACTTCTAAATCTGTAAGTCTTTTAAGAGTTTAGGCTCTGAATTTCATTTTGTGCAGATTCTACCTAACACATTTTGTGATGGAGGTAGAAGGTCTTTTTTAGCAAAACCTACAGTCTTAGTTCACAGATGGGAATATCTGTTGTGGCTTTGCCAGTCTCTTTCAGTGGTGATTTGAGCTTTGACTGAATTTGAATTCCAACTATTTCATATTGTTCTGCCTAGTAAATAGTTGATTGTTGCACTTTTCTTCCGAAAAATATTGGAAGAAACTGGGTGTATCCCTAAGCTAGGACTTCTGTTTCCACATGTTTTATTGGCATGTCAGTCCAAGTCTGAACAGCAGTGGCTTAATTCCCCGCATATGTTAGCTTTTTTTTTCCCTTTAAAAATAAGAATAGCATTAATGGATGGGGTTGGTTTGGGGATTTTTGTCAGAGGGGATGAAATTTTTCAGGACTTGTCTTATCCAAGTGGACTGTTGCTCAGCTCCTTCTGTTTCCTTTCCTGTTCTGGTAGAGAAAGAAATGAGCTAAATTTATTTTATGGAAAAATGGTTCATACTGTCAGTACAAGAAGCTAACCACTGAGTTCTCTCATGCTTGTAAAATTTCATATATGATAGTCTCACTTAGAGTGCAACTGTTCATTATTACATGATGGTTAGAATAGCATAAATATGAGCAGAAATGGAAGACCACTTTGAAAATTAAGACCATGAAGTTGAGCTAAGTTAAAAAAAAAAATTCCTCTTCTGAATTCATGTGGAAACAAATTTAGTGTTTTCAGTGCAAAGTTCAGCAAATACCAGACTGAATTCTGAATATCCTTCCATTTTCAACTATTGTTCTCTAATCTCCTGTCCTCAATCAGAGAACAATGTGAGCAAAAATATGCATGTGAGAAAATGTTTTTGGTGCACTGTAAAAGACAAGGAAGATGATCAAGTTCAGATCTCACAAATATAATCATTCTGGAAAAGATCAGATGGCTTGGTGGGTTTTGTTTTTTTCTTTGAGGTTGAGATTGTATAGGATCTGTGCTGTTTCCTCATAGCATAACCACGCTACGTATAAATTGAGAGTAGCTGAACAGTTAGCCTTGAATGAACGTGGAACCCAGAAGTATGCCACTGATGGCTGCCAAGTGTTTGGTGGTCGTACATATATGGCCAAAATAAATAAAAATTCTTACTGCCTGTGTAAAATCATGGCACTTACACCTGATGAAGAGGCTGACTTCTAAACAGAAATCTGTATCCTGGAGCTATCAACAGGATGGGATTCAGGGTGCCTGCCTTCATGGAGGCATTTGACCTCCAGCTGTTTCACTGTGTGTGTTCGAGTTCATCGTGCAACTTGTGTCCTATCTGCCATCTCTATGCTGTTGTCATAGTGTCTAACATGACACTAGATGCCTGCGTTTAGGCAAGCTGCATCCCTCCCATGGTTCCTTAAGAGCTGTTAGATTATTGTAGCCTCACAGAAATACAATATTGGTGTTCAAATACTGCACACTCCTTAGAGACATAACAGTGTAAAGTATGTGTTTCCTTGGTCATATTTCTCACTTTAGGAAAATACCACCTTTATCTATTTCATTCCGTCTTTTAAGTGTGTGAACCTGAGGAGTGTCTATGTGATGCATCCCAAGCAGTTGAAGGGTTGCATTCTTAAAAGTCGTTTCTGTGAGAAGTTTTATGAAAACGTCAGCTCAGCCATCAGATCTCATAAAACATCAATTATTATTAAGAACAAAACAGACTGCCTCCACCCCATGGTCTTCTGCAACTCAAAGCAGTGTAGCAGAACTTGCAAAGTTCAGAGAAGGGTGACAAAGGACATCAAAGCTCTGAAATGACTTCCATGTGAGAAACAGCTGAATAGCTTGGGGCACTTTGTATTGGAGAAGAGATAAATGGTGGGAGGAGAATACCACAGAGACCTTTAAAATCAGAAGTAGCGAAGGGAGAATAAATAGAGAACAGTGTTTCTTTGTGTAAGAACTTTGAGCATAACATTGAAGCAGTGTAAACCTTCAGTTTGGAAATAGTTTGAGGGGTTCTTTCATTAATTTGTCCAGTGAGGGCTATGAAATACTGGTTTTGGTAGTCTTCCTGAACTGCAAATTGTTAGAAGCTTAGAGAACATTCTGGAGAAGTGTCACTGCATGCTTCCCTCTTCTTATGCACTTTCCTAGGTGTATACCAGAAGCACAGTGCTCAGCTAGGTGCATCTTTGATCGGACCTCGTGGTCATCCTTGGGTGTCTTTGAAGCACAGTTAACCACACATGAAAGAACTCTGAAGGAGATAGCGTTCTTACGTGTGCTTTCCACAGTGCCTCATGGGCAGAAAACAATGGCAGCCGCACCAAAAAGATGCTGTAAAATTCAGTTTCTTATATGTTGAGATACTTTCATAAAGCACAGCATTCATTTGTAATCGCTCCCCACCCAAGCAGAGTTGCTTCTAACAGTTTTTACAAGCTAGAACGCTCCGACAACTAATCTTGCAACTTGGAAGAATAGAGCTTGCCTTAATTTATTTTTTTTTTACTTACGCTTATCCATTCCCACATTATTCCAGTGATTAGATTAAGTTCTTAGATGGAAAATTTCCTATAATTCTAGCCAGTGGAATTTTCATGGGGTCATGTTTTCTCACTTCTTACTAATGACAAATTTTGATTCCTTCGTAGATGCTCTGCAAGCTGTTCTAGTGATACGTAAGAGCAGTTTTACTGGGGTAACTCTATTTTGTCTTTCAGGCATAACTGGTACTTGGTTAGAAAAAATAAAACTTTATTTAGGGTTGCAAATTGCTAGCTGTGTTATCCAATATTTGCTGGCAGTTGCGAAGGTTTTTTATAAGTTGCTGATAAGTTTCTTTTTCTTTTACTTTTAAATATTTGATTTGTGGAACAGGTTTTGTAATATTAGTTCATGTGTCTAAAATTTCACTACAAGGAGAAACAATGCGATGGGTAGTGAATAATTAGAGTATTCCCTTTTATTACATTATGTGCTGGTTTTTAAAAAAAAGGCGCTAAGCAGATAAGCACAAATTTAATTGTTGTTTTTTTTTAATGTCCTGTTTGGATAGGGACATTGTAGTTAATGTTTCGATTAAATGATTTCCAGAACTGTTCGTCAGATGGCCCAGGAGCAATTCTTTTTAATGGCTACCAGGTGTTGCATGGGACAGAGACCTCTCCTTTTCTTCATTACCCTGCTGTTTACTGTTCTAGGGGTAAGTTTTTAGAGGTGAAGGCTTCAGTGCCATGTGAATTTCTGTAAAAAATAAGACAAAATATCTACAAGCAAGTCAAATTGCTATTAACAACCGTTACTAAAATATAGATTCCTTTTGACCTATGGGCAGGCATCAGAGTCAATTTAAATTTGAGTTAGATGAGGGGGAAAGGGACTTTTTGCCATTTTTTTGATGAGAATATGAACAACAAGCTTTAATATATGTATTTGGTCTTCAGTGAATGCTAACCTTCAAGTAAAAATCATTAGCAGATAGATAGATAGATACGTACAGTTATTGCTGCCTTTTACTGGTCCTGCCAGGGCTTTTCAATTCTGCATGCTCATGGTTCTGTTGAGCATTTGATCACTTTACTCTTGTTTCCCATTCAGGTATAGAAATTGCTACTAAAATAGTCCAGAAGTCATTAATTAACAGCTAAATACAATTGTAAACTTCTAAAAGGTTAAAAATTATCTTACACACCTTTGATATTTACTGCCAGTTTTAGGGAAAATATGTTAAGTTTTGCACTTTAAGTAGAAGCATGTGTGAATTATTTATCATTTGTTTTTGTTTTATGTAGAGTACTGCAAGAGAGAGAGCTAAGCATTCCGGAGACTACTTCACTCTTTTAAGACATCTTCTTAACTATGCTTACAACAGTAATATTAATGTACCCAATGCTGAAGTTCTTCTCAATAATGAAATTGACTGGCTTAAGAGAATTAGGGTAAGTTTTAGGATCAGCTTATTTCTGATAATCAGCTTTTTACTGCTTTGTTGTAAAGTACTTAACCTTGGAAACATATATTATTTAGAGTACCCTAACTTTCTCTTAAATGGCAGGATGAAGTAAAAAGAACAGGGGAAACAGGTGTTGAAGAAACTATATTAGAGGGTCACCTTGGAGTAACAAAAGAGTTGTTAGCATTCCAGACACCTGAGAAGAAATACCATATTGGTTGTGAAAAAGGAGGTGCTAATCTCATTAAAGTAAGTTAAAGTTTTTTGACCTATGGAGTTTTTCAGTTTTTGTTTCCTTTAAAAATATATTTTTTTTTTAATTGCACATTTCATTCATAAGAGTACTTAACATTCTCATTCTTTGAAACCACTGTGTATGGAGTTGCTGTGACCTAGTGAACTGTTATTCCAAGACTTGGCAAACATCACACAAGGATATTGAGCTAGATACAGGACTGCAAGGATAGTGAGCTAGATACAGGACTGCTTTCTTTCGTTACCCCTATATTGTTTTTTCTCCACATGTTCTTAATTAGTGTGCTTAATGTTTATGTGAGGTTTGAACAAATGCATGATATCTGAGCATCTCTTTAATGGGGTGTATTTTCTTTGTACCTCTGATACTATACAGCAGCAATGCTGTTTTTTTCAGAGCTAATTGATAAAGAGCTTTGTAGATAATACGGGTTAGGTGAAATAAAATTTTTATCAGTCAATATAGATTTGTTTTTAACTTTAAAAAGTTAAGGGAGTGTGGGGTGGATTTGCAGGGAACCACTTTAGGATAAAGTTGTTCTGTTCTAAATTTAAAATATTATTATGGTTTTGGTCTCAATTTCGACTCTTCTTTTAAGTACTTCAGTGGTTCTCAGACCTTCATTCATGTAATAAGTCTTACTCTGTTACAAAATAGTATTCATTTCTATGGTAACAGATGGTTTCTTTTCTTTTATTTTTTTTTTTCAGGAGTTGATAGATGATTTCATCTTTCCAGCATCCAATGTTTATCTACAATACATGAGAAATGGAGAATTGCCTGCTGAGCAGGCCATACCAGTCTGTAGTTCACCAGCTACTATTAATGCTGGCTTTGAGCTACTAGTTGCACTAGCAGTTGGATGTGTCCGAAATCTCAAACAGATAGTAGACACCTTGACTGAAATGTATTACATAGGTACAGCAATCACTAGTATGTAATACTTTTAATTATCTATTTTCTATTTTTTAATGTTTATATTATGATTAGGTTTTCTTATATTATAAACTGAACTAGGTGATGGGTTTTTTAGTTTGTAGTTTGTTTGTGGCTGCTTTTAATGTTGCAAAATCAGACTGTCAAAGTTCTGAAACGTTTGTTAGTATAGCCTTTATTTTGTTCTTATGTAGTAAATATACTGACTTGCATTACATGGTTGCATCCAAGTTCCATCCCCAGTCACTCAAACAGTCTGACCCTTCCTGCCCCAATCTCTGCCTACTCCCCTTTGTCTGTACCAGCTCCAAGGAACCTTATTCAGTCTGTATCTTCTACTTTTGTCTCATTGTTTCAGGCTCTGCCTTACCAATCCCAGAACCTCATCAGGTATCTTCAGCTTAGTTTTAGTGCCATTCTCTTGGTTGCTCACCTAATTTGTCATAGTTGTCCGCACACAGACACAGGTCCACTGTCCTGTTTCCCTTTATAGCTCTGTGCTCATTCTCTGCTTGTCAAAGTCATTTTTCAAATACTGGTCCTCTTAGTTTTGGCCTTGTCTCAGCACAGCTCTGCACTTAAAAGAGCTTTCTCCTTCTCACTGGAGAAAGATTATAGCAAATGCTGTATGTACAAAAACCTCCAAATCTTAGTGTTTCAAAAGCCAATAGTCAAATGAAACTTGGGCTAATTTTCACAAGGATTGCAAAAGGCACATACTTAACGCAAGGTTTTGTTATTAATAAAAAACATGTAAGACTTTCTTAAAAACAAACAAACAAACTGGAGCATATTTTCTGCAGCCCTAAACAGGACAGCTGAAGCATTTTGGGTGTAATACTAACAGAGAAAGAAAAAGGGGTGGGTGGAGGGTGGGACACGGTTGACACACACCAAACTCGAGCTGGTATGGGAAGAAAGGCTGAGAGAGTTGGCATTGTTCAACCTGGAGAAGAGAAGGCTCTGAGGAGACCTTATTGCAGCCTTTCTCTATATAAAGGCAGGTTATAAGAAAGATGAAGAGGGATTTTTTTAACAGGGCCTATAGAGACAGGGCAAGGGGCAGCAATTTTTAACTGAAAGAGGGTAGATTTAAGTTGAACATAAAGAGAGAGACAATGGAACAGGTTGCTCAGAGAAGTTGCAGATGCCCCATCCCTGGAGGTGTTCACGGCCAGGCTGGATGGGGCTTTGAGTGACCTAATCTAGTGGAAGGTGTCCCTGCCTATAGCAGGGGCATTGGACATAGATCATCTTTAAAGGTCCCTTCCAACCCAAACCATTCTGTGATTTAACAGAATGTTTGAACTTGAGTAGCTTAGCAAAACTACACACAACTAGAAATAGCATCCCATAGTGGGAACTGTCCACTGTCTCTCAGAATGACAGTGCTGCTTCCCCAGTTGGTGGTATCAGTGCGACATTTGAGTTAGTTTTTCAATTTCTTCCTGTTTGATTCCATCTCAAATGAACAAATAAAAAGAGCAGCTTTATGATTTCCCCCCCTGCCTCATCCTTTTTTCTTCACCCTTTGCTGTTGGGAAGTAGTGTATTTCTTATCACCTCACAATTAGAAGGATTTTATGGTGTTTCCTTCTACTCAGGTATTTGATAAGCACAATAGAATGCCAGATCTCCCAGGTACATCAGACAGAAGAGAGAACACATGTATGAACTGTGCATGCTGTGTGTTTCATAGACCAAGTAAAGCTTGCTTGTAAACATGCATGCTCTCTTACTTTCTTTTACATCAGAAATTTTTGTGTTAAAAACCACAGAATAACAGGTTAGCATAGGAAGCGTATGATCATAAATGTACTCTGAAGAAATGTGAGTGGTCTGAGGGAGAAAACTCGGGAGAAAAAAAATGTATCACAAGTCATCTAGATATCTAAAACTGTTACCCGTCCTGGCAAGGAAAAGTGAAATATTGTAATTTTAAAATTACTATAATTTTGTGAAAGGCTTATAAATTGGTTATGTATTCTAGATTCGTTCAGCTGATTTCTTCAGCTAAGAAACTTGCTGGTATTGAGGGAAAACTTCTGTTTGGTACATAAATAGACTGAATATTTGTCTGGCCACCTTTTTAGTTATGCAATACAAGAAAATGGTGTAATGTTTAGATTGCAGATAGAACTATTGTTCATAGAAGTTGGGCTAGTTTTAGCAATTAAGTTTTCTGGTGGAACATTTGTATTATTAAACTGCAGTGGGATACAAACTAATACTAATTTTATGCTACTGCCCTTTGTAGTGCATTGATGGTCTAATTATTTTAGAACAAAATAGTTTCCTCATCACATTCTGCTATTTTCTTTTAGCTTGTGAAGCACTTACAGAATGGGAATATCTACCACCTGTTGGGCCTCGACCGCCAAAGGGATTTGTAGGACTGAAAAATGCTGGTGCCACTTGTTATATGAATTCTGTCATTCAGCAGCTGTACATGATTCCAGCTATCAGGAATGGGATTCTTGCAATTGAAGGCACAGGCAGTGATGTGGATGATGATATGTCTGGGGATGAAAAGCAGGACAATGAGGTATATTTAATTATGTAGAATTTGCTCATCTTTAAACAATTCTTTTTTTTGAAAGGTTGTAATAAATCTAAGTTACTAATTGCTTTGCTTTCCCCTGCTAGCAGTGGGGACAATAGCGTAATATTTCTTACTTGAGTAGGCTTGCTGCCACAGAGGCAGTTCAAAAGATCCAAGTAGGAAGGTTTGCAGGCTTCCTCCTCATGGATTTGTAGTTGAAAGCACTGTACGCCACTTCTGCCACTAGAACTCCCTTGGTGCGTACAAAGACATTATTTGTTTCTTCAGATGAGAATATGAAACGCTTTAGGTTGTTAAATTAAACAAGGGATACAACTAGCTATGAGACAGCTACATATCAAAGTTAATTGCACAAATTTTCTTCTATTTTTCAGAGCAATGTTGACCCGCGAGATGATGTGTTTGGCTATCCACATCAGTATGAAGACAAACCAGCTCTGAGTAAAACAGAAGATAGAAAAGAGTACAATATTGGTGTTCTGAGGCATCTTCAAGTAATTTTTGGTCATTTAGCAGCTTCCAGGCTACAGTACTATGTACCAAGAGGGTTTTGGAAGCAGTTTAGGTAAACAGAAAATTTAGTATTGATATCTGTTTGCTGGACCACTGAAATGCAACAACTAATTGTAGTAGAAGAAATTATAGTGATGTTAATTGTAAATTAGCAGAACTTGTACAGCATTGTATCTGTTACTCTACCTCTTCACCATTCCGTAGAAGTCTGTTAATAAAACAAAATTTACAGCAAGATGGTTATTTTGAATTCTAGCTGTTCTTGACCATGATATTGAGACTTTGAATTAAGTATGAAGTTATATGCAATAGCTTGGTTTTACTTACCAGTAACTAAGTGTCAGGGACAGAGTAACAGTTGTGATGTATGCTACATTACAAACCAATAAATAGTTTTTACCACTAGGAAGGTGAAATTAATAGCTTGAATAATACTTTTTTAGAAAAGAAGTTGTTGGAGAACAAAACAAAAAAATATTTGATAAAAATGTGCTTTTGTTTTCAGACTTTGGGGTGAACCTGTAAATCTACGCGAACAACATGATGCTTTAGAATTTTTTAATTCCTTGGTGGACAGTTTAGATGAAGCTTTAAAAGCTTTGGGCCATCCAGCAATGTTAAGTAAAGTTTTAGGAGGGTCCTTTGCTGATCAGAAGATTTGTCAAGGATGCCCACATCGGTAAGTGTTTAAGATTCTCTTTTCTTACGGAAAAACAGCCCTTGTTTGTATAGAGAGTCAAGAGTGGGGTTTTTGTGGTGGTTATTTGGGTTTTTTTAAAGCTAATAGAATTTGCTACCTTGTTTTTTCTATAGCCTTAACATTAATTCATGTTAAAGTGCATTGAAGTACTTTATTATTGTTTCTTCTACTTAGCAGATTGTATCTGAAGCTTTGTGTATTGATCAGGGGAGGAAAAGATACAGCTTTTTCATGATAAAGGTGAAAACAACCCAGGGACCAAAAGGCAATGTATGATATTTTTAAGACACGGCCAAAAGCTGTTGCTGTCTTGTGTCTTCTAGAGTGTATGGTAGAGCTGATCTAAGTATGAATTTTTAATTCCGATTAGTAAAACTCATTTCACACTCACTGTGTAAGCTGTAATTAAGGAGAATGATGTAGAAGGTTTTTCTTTTTCTCAAGAATTCTGATGTATTTTTAATTAACCTAAAATACGAATACTGAAATTTGGCTTCATATAGGGTATGTAAAAAAAAAAAAAAAATCCATACCAAATCAGACTGCAAGTCTGTAGCCCACTATCTTGATGATGGTGATCAATGACGAATACCTAGTGGAAGAACAGAACTAGGCGTTGTACAGTTGTGCTTTAGACTTTCTTCTGTATCACTTTTGAGGTGGATGATTAGAATTGTGTGCAAGATTCAAGATGGGCTAGTAATGGACTTGTTCTTTTTCAACAGTTGGCTGTTTTATTATTTTGTTAAATGTTGTACCACAAACTTCATACTGTTGACTACATCTTTCAGATTATGTGTGATTCTTAATGTAGATCCCTCTGCACGTTACCCTTGCAAATTCTCTTTATTATGAAAGTTGATCATGTCGTGTTATTCTTCAATTAGCAATTAAAATACAGGAAAAAAACACTGATACAAACTGATTTTATTGTGATAATCTTTCAACTTCAGTTAAGCTCATGTGTGAATTAGAAGAACTTATAAATTGAACATCTTAACTTACATGGGTTAAAATGTGTGACCAGAAGTAAGTTGAAATATTGCAAGTTAAACTGAAAGTACTGATTTTATTTTATATGCAATGGTTAATTAAATGGAAGATACAGATGTAAAGCAACGTGAGTTACCATTCATTCCTGATATTGTGTACCTTCCTGAAGTATTACCCATCTTTCTGGAACTCTACTGGATTTGCATAATTGTACTTCTTAAGAAAAACGTTACCCTGATTGTAGTTTAGGTAGGAGAAAACTGATGATAAACTAAACTATTGGATTGGGGTGTGACAGATTAACAGCATTTCTAAATTTGTAAATTATTCAATAGATGAATTAATATTACTGTTTTGGTTGAAGTTTTTCTAAATATTAATTTACTCAGTGTTATAAAACTTTGTATGCTTGGTTGTGTATCAGAGAAACAAGCACTGCAGGGTTATGTTGGAATAGATGCAACTTTTAACATTTATTCATCACTTTATCCTTTTTAGAAAAAGTTTCCAAGATACCTTAACTGGTTGTCTCTAAAGCATTGCTGGTTCATTGCTAGGAATTTCTTTGAAGGTTATATCAGAACACAGTAACTCAAAGCCAGTCATAAATATGCAAAGTGATTTTATGAAGCTATTCAGCTTTTTTCAGCTAGAAAAATAAAAAAGCTTTTTTTTTTAATCTGTTTTGAACTGTTGTCTCTAGGTCTGATACAGTGTTTGTGTTTATTAGTCTAATTCCTGACAGTAAAGTTCATCAATGGAAAAAGTACTCTACTTTGCTCTCTGTCTTTCTCTACTAGCTTCAGTTAGACAAGAGTCTGTCACGCTACTTTAGCTGCTTTAAAAACAAGATGTGCTGAGATTCAACTTCCACGATCTTTTCAGTGAACTTGAGACATACGAGTCATTTCTGTGATCTTCATAAAATAACTGTAGTTAATGCAGATCAAAAAATACAGTGTGCAGATACTGTAATGTGAAAGTCGAGAACATTTCTGCCTTTCTCTTACATCTTTCTGTTTATTGGTAGGTACGAATGCGAGGAATCCTTCACAACTCTGAATGTAGATATAAGAAATCACCAAAACCTTCTTGATTCTTTGGAACAGTATGTCAAAGGAGATCTATTGGAAGGTGCAAATGCGTATCATTGTGAAAAATGCAACAAAAAGGTAATGATTCCTTATATATTAAATTTGTGTACAACTCTGGTGTTATAGTATTAGTTCATATTCAGGGGAAAAAAGTTATCCTTTAATTACAGAATGTGGTTGTTGATAAAGAGTATACAAATGGAAGTTTAAAAGGTGGTAACTGTTCATGTCCTTTTTTAGGTTGATACAGTGAAACGCTTGTTGATTAAGAAGTTGCCTCCAGTTCTTGCAATCCAGTTGAAGCGATTTGATTATGACTGGGAAAGGGAATGTGCAATCAAGTTCAATGATTATTTTGAATTTCCACGAGAGCTGGACATGGAGCCTTATACGGTGGCAGGTGTAGCTAAATTGGAAGGAGATGATGTAAATCCTGAAAATCAGATAATACAAAATGAACAGTCAGAAAATGAGCACTCTGGGAGCACGAAATACAGGCTTGTTGGTGTACTTGTACACAGTGGCCAGGCCAGTGGTGGACATTATTACTCTTATATTATCCAGAGGAACGGTGGAGATGGTGAGAAAAATAGGTGGTATAAATTTGATGATGGAGATGTGACAGAGTGTAAAATGGATGATGATGAAGAAATGAAAAACCAGTGTTTTGGTGGAGAATACATGGGAGAAGTGTTTGATCATATGATGAAGCGAATGTCCTACAGACGCCAGAAGAGGTGGTGGAATGCTTATATTCTTTTTTATGAACGTATGGACACAGTGGACAAAGACAATGAACTAATAAAATATATTTTAGAGCTTACTGTCACCACTAAACCCCATCAGATTAAAATGCCATCGGCTATTGAACGAAGTGTACGGAAGCAGAATGTGCAGTTCATGCATAATCGTATGCAGTACAGCCTAGAATATTTTCAGTTCATAAAGAAGTTACTTACTTGTAATAGTGTCTACTTAAATCCTCCTCCAGGTTAGTATGTTTGGGCAATAATTATGAATTAAGTTGTTGCAAGAAGAATTTTGATTTGTGTTGTCAAGCAGTTGTCTAGCCAGTGAAATTTTTGTGCATTCTGCTTTGAATACTCTGTCTTTCTGGACTTCTGCAGTTAAAGATCTGTTCATCAGTGGTAACATGCTGTAATATTTAGCAAAAAATACGTTGATAAACTATCAACTATTATTCAGCTTAGGGACTAAGTAATGTTGAAATGCTTACATTTGTGGAGTGCTCTGCTGAAGACAGTTCTCAAAGATGAGATGCTGAATTTCTAAAAAGGAGAATATGTTAGCCTCCGTGTACTTGTTACTGTATTTCCAAATTATGCGATACAGAAGCAAGAGGCTATTTTGATCAGGTTTCCTGTTAAAACTGAAACACAATGTCAGACAAAATAGTAGTCTGGAATTAGTTAAATTGTTAAAAGTAAATTGCTTTTATCTTGCCTACATATGAGTATTTTGATTTTTCTTTAGGACAAGATCATCTGTTGCCTGAAGCAGAAGAAATAACTATGATTAGTATTCAGCTTGCTGCTAGATTTCTCTTCACCACAGGATTTCATACAAAGAAAATAGTCCGTGGCCCTGCTAGTGATTGGTATCTTGTCTTTTAAAAGCAATTACATTTTTGGAAGTTCAATGACTGTTAAAAGATCCCAGTTATATACATATGACAATAAAAGGTGTTAGTGGTCTGTCACATTTTCACCCGTCCCTCAAATACATGGTCAAGGTGCACGTGGAAAGGGGGGGAAATTTGAACAGAAAATACTGGGAAGAAACTGAGCCTTAAAATAAGATGCTGAGCTGAACAGTTTCAAAATTCATTTTCAAAGAGAGCTTAAATCTGCCTTTTTGTCTGTCTCTTAAAAAGAATAAAAGAGTAAAATCTATCGCTAACACAAAACTAATAGTTTATGTATTCTGACTTTAATTCAGAATGGTTTGTTCATGGTTTGAGTAGTTTTAAACAAAGCGGTCTTCAGCTCATTTTTGCAGCTTATGGTTGTATTCTTTTTCTGAAACACGTATATAATCTTTTAGAGACGGTTAGCAGAGTGGTTTATGTGCATTGCTATGGGGCCTGTAATTCAAGTCGTAGTATAACAAACAGTACAGTCTTATTCATAGCACTACAGCATTTTAGTCTTTAAGCTAGATTATTCTGTGTTGGGAAGTGTGGTATGGGTTGCTACTCGTAGAACTAGAGAGAAAATCTAGTGTTCATGATGACCAGTAAGTAGTTTACCAGCTAGTAGTTAGTTGGGTGATAGGTGGCAAATAGGTACCTTAATTTTTGCTCCAACAGCAACTTTCAGAGTAGCTAAGTTACTCCTGTTATTTTTAAGAGATGAAGAGGAGTTCAAATATTGCTGCAGGAAGGAGGACAGTCATACAAGACCCTATCTGGAATAGATATTTTACTTTTTGGGTGTGGTTTTTTGGGGGGTTTTTTTAGATCTGTAGGTGAGAATATAAATTCCTGATAGGTTACATATTTAGTTACTTGTCCTATACATAGCTCATTAAATCCACCTCGTATTCTCCGCTGCTCGCCCTCTTCCCCAGTTCCAATGCAGAGGAAATGATGGCTGCCAATTTAGGATGTGCATTGAGTAGTAGTTTGGAAGTTAGGGCATGTAATCCTGTCTTAGTTCTTCTGGGTGATAGCATTAAAATGCTACTGTTAAATGTTAGTTTTTTAATTGAAGTATCTTTTTAATTTGTGATTGCAAGTGACAGAGAGTATCACTATAGGAACTACAATTTATCTGATTGTAAGTGTTTTGTGAGCAAAAATGTTTGGCCATCACCTCTAGCATGTATTTTCTTCAAATTCTGCAAAAGAATCTGACAAAATTCATTAATGTCATATGTAGTGTGGTCATAATCTCTCAGTTGTGTCATCTTCTATTTCAGGTATGATGCATTATGCATCCTTCTTCGTCACAGCAAGAATGTACGCTTTTGGTTTGCACACAATGTCCTTTTTAATGTTTCAAACCGCTTCTCTGAGTATCTTTTGGAATGTCCTAGTGCTGAAGTGAGGGGTGCATTTGCAAAACTTATAGTATTTATTGCACATTTTTCATTGCAAGACGGACCATGTCCTTCGCCTTTTGCCTCTCCTGGACCTTCCAGTCAGGTATTTAATTTTCTAACAAAAAGGTTTTGAAACTTATTCTTACTTCTTCATTATAAGCATTTAATGTAACTTAAATTCTGGTGTAGATGCATCAGTGTTGACGAGAAGGCTGTATAACCTAAATAAAGATTTTATAGGTTCAGCCACTAATATAAAACTTTTTTTTTTGTATAGGCTTATGATAACTTAAGTTTAAGTGATCACTTACTGAGAGCGGTACTAAATCTTCTGAGAAGGGAGGTATCTGAACATGGGCGCCATTTGCAGCAGTATTTCAATCTGTTTGTAATGTATGCCAACCTAGGTAAGCAAGTTACACATACTTTTACTGATGTCACTGTAATAAACTCTTCTATTAATGAAGCCGTTACACAGGTAACAGCAGGAGAATCCAGTTTTTCAGCCTCAGGCAGATTGTTATCATTAAATGCCATTTAAGTGCTCTCTAGAGCATCTGTGTTCCTCTAGTTTGGAGTTTGGAGCTTTAGTTTTCCTGACATCCTTTGGAAGATTAACACAAGAAGCTTGGAGCAATAAAAGTGTGTCATTCTGAGATGGTGTGAGGGTGAAAAAGTGGCAAGAGAAACAATGCTTTGTTCAGGGCTTCTTTGCAGGGAGGTCATGAGACAAGAAGCATGTGAGGATGTCAACTAGTTTGAGCTTGGAGATGTTGAAGATAAAAGTTCAAAAAAAAGAGATGCGTGATTCTCCTGTATTGAAATGTCAATAGGAGATGGTCATGCTTTTTCTGTATATTCCAGCTGTGCCCTTTCAATATTAATTTCTTGAGTTCACCTTTGAAGTTCACAGCTACAAGTGCAAAACACTGACTCTCTTCCCTTTTAAGACTCTTTGGGAGTCCGTATATGTTCTTAGCCATCATTTCTTGCGAGAATGCTTTCACCATAGTCATCGTATGAGATAAAAGAATGCAAGAATTGGAAAGTTCCACTAGAAATTTATCAGGTATTGTAGTTCCTCCAAGATAAACAGACAAGAAAAGTCAGTGGTTTTGCAATATAGGAAGGCTTAAGTAAAGTTTTCCCGGGCTTGAGACAATGATTCTCTTCATAAAGACTGTAGTCCTGAATTTTCTGATGAAATATTAAATTAGGAATTGAGGATGATTGCAAATGTGGGGGGTTTTTTTAGCACTTGAATGTAGGACTAGTAGGACTACCTGTATTTGGAGCTGCTACAGATAAGACCCATTATACACATGCTATAATATAACTGAGGTGAGATGGTTATCAGCTGTGCGGTGATCCACATGGGATATTGTCTGTGGCACTTCCAGCATCACCCGTTTTTCTTCGGGATCTTAGTTGTATCCAGCATTATGAAAATAGAAATAAGTATAGATTTAGAAATATACCAAAACTTGTATTAAATTCTGGATTATGTAGGTTCTTTGCATAGAAAGTCACTAGCCTGTATACTAAGAATAGAATAAAATAATACTAATAGTATCTGAAGTATCTATTCCAAACAAATATCATTTTTGTAGCTAAACTAAGATCAGTCCTATTCACATTCAAATGAATAGCTGTAATCATGCTTTCCTTTAGCATTATCAGCATGCTGAAAACCAATTGATGATTGATTGAATAAGCTGTTTCTCGGGTGGGTTAATCTGTTGCTGCTTTATATATTTGCTCGGTTGGGAGTAATAAAATACAAGTCAAATAAAAGATTTATTTTGCTCTCAGGCTGATGAGGGTAGTCACAGGTTCACATCTAGTAAATTGTCACAGAGCTCTGCATTCTTCCTTTTCCCAGTTACTAGGGTCTTCTATCAGGGGCTTATCTCTCTCTCCCGTGTGGTAGCTTAAGTGACAAAGGATCTTTCTCCACAGCAGGTTCTAACCAAGACAGGTGAAGAATATTCTCTCCCTCTTACTCTAATACAAGATATTTTTGTCCTTTTTATGTAAAGTAGTATGCAGCTGGGAGATCTTGTTCCCTTGGAAATTTTACAAAATGCCCATAATACTGAGCAGCTCAGCCATTGCTGGTTACCGGCTCATGCAGGCAAGTTATAAATGCGAGTTTCTGTTAGATTACTTTGTGACTAAAGTGTTAAGCAAGCATATCAGTCCAAGTGGAGTTATTTCAGTATTTCCATGTAGAATTGACATGCACAAGCTCTTTAAAATAGTTTACTGACATGAAAGGAATTTAATTTCCTATCTGTAAAATTATTCTAGGCACTTGTGTTAATTTAATTTCACTTACAGTGTTTGTTGTTTTCATATACTTTGTCTACCAAAGCATTCTCTGTCAGGCAGGATTCTGTCATGACTCCCAGAGTGGACTTAATGTTGTTCCAGAGAAGAGAGACGCAAATCTGCTCTAACTTCTCTTTTCTTTTTTACTAGTTTTTCATAGTCAGTCAGTGCAGTTGAAGCCTCTGACTAGGAAAGCCCTCAGAAGCCAGACGGGGAGGCATAACTAAATTTTATTTCTGGGTCTGATTGTTATCGCAATCTACCCTGCAAAGATAAGCATGGAAATATTAAGCAGTTGTGCTTGTCTGACTACTGTTAACTGAGGCTTCTGTATGGATGTAGAGTGTTGATTCAGGAAAAGCCAAAAATACATGATTCCTGCAAAGCCTCAGGTTCTGTGAAAAAGATTAAATTGTCTGACATTTTGAGAAATCAGATAGTATATTATGTCAAAGCAAGTGAGAGATCAGTTCTATGAAGGATGTAACTACAAAACTAACATAATGAAAAATATCCTGTAAAAGAGCTCCAGTAAGGTGGTATCTGAATTCCTCCTCCTTATCAGAAAGATGGTAGGTAAGGTCCAGTACTATTTCAGAATAAGAAAAAACTTTGAAATGTATAAAAAATCATGACTTAACCAAATTGAGAAACAGAATACAAGATCAGAAGGGACATATCAAGTTTACGGGTAAGTACTTGTGTATTATGTGCAAGGTATTCTTGCAGTGAAACTAGCTGTATGTTTGGATTTTTTGGTTGGTTTTGGAGGTTTTCTCATTGTTGTTTGTTTTTTCTTGAATTGATTTTGTCACTTATTTACACTTGCTGCATAGTATGGCACAGTTGGAAATGTCTTAAATTTTTAATTTATGTATCTAGGACATGACAGAAAAATAACAAAATATACTATGGGGTATGTTCATCCTATTCTGTGCCTCACAATAAAAAGTTTAATCCTTTGTCCAAAAGACTTCTCTGAGGCTTTGCTATTAACACAGATGCTAGTTAATTAAGTGCTAATGACCACTGTTAGGAAATTGTAGTCATTTACGACTCTCCTTCAATGTGATTTTTCAGATGAACATAATTTTCTTCATCTTTACTGATTTGATTATTTGTTTTCCCCAGAAAGCATAAATGATGGTTATAATAAAACCCAGCAACTGAAAAGCTAAGAATCAAGTAAACAGTGGTTCTTTTTCTTTAACAAAAAAAAAAAAAGTGTTGTCAGTGCCAGAAACAAGATGTATCTTTTCTTCCCCCCCACCTCCTTCACCTCTAAAGGTGTAGCAGAGAAGACACAACTTCTGAAACTAAATGTTCCTGCAACCTTCATGCTTGTGGCTCTGGATGAAGGTCCAGGTCCTCCAATTAAATACCAGTATGCTGAATTGGGGAAGCTGTACACTGTTGTGTCACAATTGATCCGATGTTGCAATGTGTCATCGCGGATGCAGTCTTCTATCAATGGTATAGTGAATTTTAAGTTTTTCTCAGATTAATTGAATATATCAGTAAATGTCTTTTGTGCATATTTAGCTATTATGTGTAAAATGGATTAGCTGGTAAAATGGTTGCCTTTTATGTTCAGCAACTCCTTTCAAGACAGAAATCTCTTTGTCATAGAATCCCAGAATCATAGAATGGTTAGGGTTGGAAAGGACCTTAAAGATCATCAAGTTCCACCCCCTCTGCCATGGGCAGGGACACCTCCCACTAGACCAGGTTGCTCAAAGCCTCATCCAGCCTGGCCTTGAACACCTCCAGGGATGGGGCATCCACAGCTTCTCTGGGCAACCTGTTACAGTACCTTACCACCCTCACAGTGAAAGATTTCTTGCTAATGTCTAGTCTAAATCTAGCCTCTTTCAGCTCATAAGCAAAACTGATGGCTATACCAACATACTTAAAAGTACAAGACAGAAATCTGTTCTGTAATTTATTCTTCTTGGCTTATTCCTTAAAGATACAGGAAAACAACTGAGTATGTTGATTACAAAATAGTAATGGTTTTAGAATAGTTCAGGCTCATTGTAAAGAGTTGCATAAAGGTCTTGATTTTGAGTAGGCAATAAAATAATAGATTACTTTAATGTTACCAATACAAAAGTAATCTGTATGGGAAAACACTATAGCAGGCTCTGAAATAGGTATCAGTAAAGAGATCTTGCATTGTTGTGGATGGCTCTTGATAATTATTTGGTGCTAGTTTGCAGTCAAGAAAACAAACAAGAGCCATCACTTAAGCTGATTCTTTATCTTTTATAAATTTGAAATTTGTCGACCACAGTATAAATCATTAATGTCTCCAATAGTTGAATAGAGTGCAGTTATTTCTGAGAAATGGTGACAGAATATTGAGTTACATGGACTTTATAGCCTGTATATGTATATGTGCATATTTTAGAAAACCTAATTAGGAATCTATGGAGAAGCTAATTAATGGCAAACTCATTACAGCTTGATGTGTCAGGCTGTAAAGTCAATAGGCTAGAATGTGCTATAGTAAGATTAATGAACTGAAAATTTACTGTGCTGTAATAAGCTTCAGAGCCATTTGGCAATTTTGATCTGGTTTTGTTTCCAGTGCATTATGTGAGGCTTATACTAAAAGATATTCAACCTATGAAAAATAATTGTATATTCACTGTATTCATAATGTTGTAGTAAAAAATCCTTACTTTTTATGGATATTACTCTAACTACTAGTTATGATTACTGTTTGCAGCATAAAGTTATTTTTTGCTTCAGCATACTGAGCTAGAAAAGTTCTACCTTGGACTTCTGGGCATCTTCAAACAATGACTAAAAGCACTGCTAAATTTAGAAACATCAGGAGCAAATCAACAGTCTTCCCTTTCAAAAATAATGAAGCTTACTAAATAAGATACATTAATTTTTATTCTTTCAAGAGTATATTACTTCTCTTTACACTCTCTAGAGAGTCAGATGGGACTATTCTGACAGATATTCTTCTGAACCCTTTCCCATTGTGTAGTGAAGTAAATAGACCTTGTGTCTTAAAATATGATAGATTTGGGCTGTGTTACACAAGCAGTGAAGCAGATAAATTCAGGAGATAAGAGGATTTCACAAAGGAAACTCTTAGTAATTTCTCTTCTTGCATATGAACATGCCTCCAGCTGTTCTGCTTTGATTGTCTCTGCATAATCTTATTTGAGAGGGAAAAGTAACTCTCTCAGGCAGCAAGTGTTAAGCTTCACAATTAGAAAACTTAAGTTATTTCATACCATTTTTCAAAGAAAATCAACTCTTAGGGGGAGGGGTTGGGTTTTTTTTTCCATCTATTGTGTTTTGCTGAGTTAAGGCAATTTATATTTTGTTGTGTCTGTACTGAAAGTACTTCAGTGCCTTTTCATCTGTACTAACTGTTTGTTCTAGGTAATCCCCCACTGGCCAACCCTTACGGTGATCCTAATTTATCTCAACCTATAATGGCACTTCAGCAGAACGTAGCAGACATTTTGTTTGTGAGAACTAGTTACGTGAAGAAAATTATTGAAGATTGCAGCAACTCTGAAGAGACAATCAAGTTGCTTCGTTTCTGCTGTTGGGAGAATCCTCAGTTCTCTTCCACTGTCCTCAGTGAACTTCTTTGGCAGGTAAAACTAAAAAGATAGGAGAAAGATGGGGGTATCAATCTGTATGATGCAAGATCCTATATTTATGTATATGAAAGTTGTATTAAATACTGAACAGGTGCCTGATAAATTAGCTTTCCTTAAGATGGCACCCTCTGTCAGTATATATGCTCATAGGTCTATACATCATGTTGGACTGCTATGAGAAGTCCTTTTATGAGCTTAGGAAAGCAATTGACCATTTATGAATTAGGAACGCTATGTTAAGGGTGGAAAATAAGTAGACTGAGGTGGTCTTTATGTATTGCAATAGCATTTCCTTCAGCTTTTCTGTATTACCCACAAAGGATCGTCTTACACTGCATGGAAAGTTAGAATAATTTCCTAAGATCTCCCTTGCATTTATTTTGAATATGTTTGTAAGGTTCTTTTTTACAAGTCTGCAGAACATACTTGGCTTCAGACTCAGGAAAGAATCTTTGGGACTATCTTGCTTTTTCCTTTGTAATCTCTGTAAGGTTAATCATGCTTTTCCACTCCAAATAAATTTTTTGTACTTCTCTTAGCTCATCTTTATATTTGCCCAATTTTTCCATGTAAACATCACATTTTTTTATGTCCTTTTGTTTGGCACTTGAAAGAATCATAATAAAAATCACTTTACTGAGGCTTTGCTAGCCAAGTATTTTGCATTTGAGGATGACTTTTGAAGATAACCTTTGAATGTAGTGTCTAAAAGTAGCAATACCAGTGAAAAATACAGCTTTGTAAATTTGCTTTTCTAAAGGTAGTTTTTAAGGTAGCTTCTCATCTCATGCTTTGGGCTTCAGATCAATTGTGTTAGAAACTCATGAAGAAACATTTTGTCCTTTACAAACCCCACTGTATTTAAAAAAACAAAACAAAACAAGAACCCAACAAAACCACAATCCCCAAAAAAAGCCCTGACACAATCAACATTTTTAAAAAAAAAATGCATTGTGTATTGAAATACCCTTTAAATTACAGTAGACTTTACTTGAAATCAATTGTATTTTGTATTGCACCATGCAATCTCAATGCTTCAAGGGATGCTTATGTTCTCTGCATTTTTACTTTTTAAGGTTGCGTATTCATATACATACGAGCTTCGACCTTATTTGGATCTGCTTCTGCAAATCCTATTAATTGAGGACTCTTGGCAAACTCACAGGTTAGTATTCACCTGTCTTTTTATAATTCAAGATTATTATGTTTTGTGCAGCTTGTTTTCCCAGTGGTTCTATTGCTAACCCTTTCAAGAGGTTTGTTTTAAATACATATTAAATCAAAATACAGGATTAAAGCATTTTTTTCCACTTCTACCTCAATCTATGAGATAAATCTACAGTTTTTCACCTTGACCTTCCTCCCTATTGAGAAATTTGCTACTTAGTCCTATAAACCCAAACCTTCTCACATACCAGCGAATGTGCCATTTAGGCTAAATTCATTGTTATTTACTGTGAGGTGCTTAGAGTGATTCTTAGAAACGTCTCATTTAGAGGGTCCAAAGACAGCCCGGTCTTACTAAGAAGCATGTCAGTTGTAGTGGTGATACCAAGTCATGGATAAAGCGTGAATCTGGGAGAAAAGCATTTCGGACATAAATATTCTCTATGTGATCACATTTCAATAGAATTGTAACTTCAATATATTAAGTATTCATCCAGTTTCAAACCTAATTTTCATATGTCTACAGAATAAGGCTTTTGAAAGTTGAATTTAAAAAAATGTAATTACTGCCCATACTGACTATGAGAATAGGCAATTCCTCCGAAGTTTTATGTAGTACTAGGTGCGGTAACACAAAATAAATGTAATCAATATGCTATCTGTCAATATTTCAAAATGTCACTATTTCGTAATAAGTGAATGTAGGTAGTATCAGAGTTACTAAGTCATTTGCAACCATGTCTCACATGACATTTAAAATACTTCGAGTAAGAGCATGCTTGCTATGTGCAATAAGGGTATTGGACTGAAGTAATGTACTTGACATGTAGAGGTAGACAGCACTCCTGTGATTTTATCAGTTGTCTAGTCTTACTTTAGGAGGTACTCTTAAGACAAGATGGGGTCTGGCTTACCACAGTCCAAAACATGAAGACTGAGTTGGAGGGCTTTCTCCATTTTCTGTATAGAAATTACGGCTTAGGTAAGGGACAAGAATACCCTTTATACATAGGCTTTTCATTTTTACATATATGTATGTATATATAATGCATATAGAATGCAATTTGTTTATGTTTTCTTCCTGATAAATAAATACTTCCTTAAGATGTCTTTAAATCCACAAAACTGGAGGGTGGCCATACTTGAGGAGATGTGAAGTAAAATAATACATTTTAGGGTGGAAGCGCAGGTGAGAAATCATGGAAGTGGTTGTTGGGGATAGTGCTATGTTTGAGATTATGGGGTATGAAGGAGGTTGAATGTTGTAGTATGGCTTTCACTATACTTGGAAATGTACATCGCTTCGTATTCAAGATTGCAGTCTCAGGAATAGCAGTGTTTGTTGGAATTGTGTAGGCTTCAGCAGAGGGGGGTATTTAAGTGGCCAGCTGCAGTCATCCTCTGTTTTCTTGCTGCCACTTCTGGCAGTAGCTTGAAGTACTGGTCTCCATCCTGCTCTTGCTTTTGCTGTAATAATCATAGAGTTTTAATGATCTTTGTCTTTTCTTTCAAAGAAAAGCCCAAATAGCATAACCGTCCATAGTAAATGGTAATACCTTCTAACTCTTGGAAAACAAATGTCATCTGATCTTAGACAGTGGGCATCCTTCAGTGCTCCTTGCATTCTTGTACTGTGAGAGGGCTGCTGCTGTTCTTTGGAATCAGACCCGCTCTCATAAATTTATCTTGACAAGTTCACGTGCCAAGTTTGGAGTAATAGTGTTAAAAGTTTGGAATAATAGTGTTCCAAGTACTATTAAGTTAAATTGGCTGAAGTAAAGCTCATCCTCACTTTACAGATGGAGCCTGGGTTGCTGGCTGCCTGGATTCTATTTGCTGACTGTTGCCAGGGCTATGAAGAAAGTGCAGTTGCTTTTCCTACAATGAGTGTAGCACTTTGAGATGTCAGCGTAGATTCCATGCCCTCCTCTGACTTTCTTTCATAGCCAAAAGTATGTCAATTTTCACTCCTTCCACAGTTTCAGGGTGGCAGTTAATTCCTCTACCCCTTGTTCAAGAGCAGAAGGCACAGAAAGTAGGCTTAGTTTCAGGGAATGCCCAAATCCCTTATCCCCATGCACAAACATGTACCATTCATTCCTCTTCAGAGGAACTGCATCTAAACGACTATCTTTGAGAAGCATAACTATAACATAAGTAACCATTCTGTTGAGGGTATAAGTGTCCCAGTTCTGTAAAGACCTACTGGGTTAACAGGTCTGTTTTGTAAATGCAGTTGATTTTTAAAATAAGTAATAAAAATCAACCAGTTAAAGTTGGTTGCTGTGATTAGAATGAATCATACTTACCTGTTTTGTATATCTCATTCAGGGAGTTTAAATGTTACCAAATGTGCTAAAATTATGTTATGCATGTCGTGTCAAGTTAGTTTTCCGATTAAAAAAAAAAAAAAAAAAAACAAAACTCTTCTTTACTAAAACCAGAAGTCAGAATATGAGCTATAATTTTTATAATTACATTGTAAGCAAAGCCTTGATTCAAATACTAAAACACTAACACTTGAAGTTTTGGGTTTGTTTTGGGTTTTGTTGTAGGATTCACAATGCACTTAAGGGAATCCCGGATGACAGGGATGGACTATTTGACACCATTCAGCGCTCGAAGAATCATTATCAGAAAAGAGCTTATCAGTGTATAAAGTGCATGGTAGCTCTCTTCAGCAACTGTCCTGTAGCCTACCAGATCCTTCAGGTGATACCTTTAATTCTGTGTCCTGCTGCCTTTTTTTCCAGTTCTGTGTAAAACAGCAAAACCAAGAAACATCATTATTCAGTTTTCATTGCCTTGATGAAATTACAACTTACAAGTACAATTCATTTGAACCTTCGTATATCAGAAAGTCACTATAGGGGATTGAGGGCTGTTTGGTTAAACTTGCACTCATGAGTCTGTGATGCAGCTGCAAATCCACAGACTTAATTTCAAATCATAAGTTTTCTTTGTGCAAAAAAAGGGGATTTCAGGGAGTGTTTTAAACAGCAGCATATATGTTGGTGGTCTGTTCTCTGATAGCTGATATATAGGAAAGGAAAAAATTTCTGTTTTGAAGAATAGAGAAAATATTTCTGAATTGTTAATTTTCTATCTGCAGAGCAATGGAGATTTGAAGAGGAAATGGACCTGGGCAGTAGAGTGGCTTGGAGACGAGCTTGAGCGTAGACCATACACTGGCAATCCCCAATACACCTATAATAATTGGTCTCCACCAATACAAAGCAATGAAACATCAAATGGCTACTTCCTAGAGAGATCGCACAGTGCTAGAATGACTCTTGCAAAAGCTTGTGAACTCTGCCCAGAGGAGGTAAAGAATTCATTTGATTTCTGGTAAAAAATTTGAGTAACATGCTTCTATAAATAACTAACCTTAGCAACAGTCTCTGGTCATTATAGAGGTAACACATTTTATAAGTATTTTATAAATATCGATTTCTAATTTTGTTGGCTACTGTGCATTTTTCCACTTTTATTACTGTTTCTGTAGACATCTGTCACTTAATTTCAATTCTATAATACTAACTTGTTGACAATTTAAAGTAGGTTATGAATGGGTGTGTTTTTCCAGTAACATGTTGATAGTGAGAATTTTTCTGTAGTACAATACAAGCTGTGGGTGATACGGTGGGGTGAAATTTTTCTCCAAGCATGTCTGCAGTGATCACTTGCATGTAGGATTGGTTCTGGATAGAATAATCATAAGATGTTTTACCTAAGTAAATTAAATGTTTTTTTAAACTTCAGGAACCAGATGATCCTGATGCCCCAGATGAACATGAGTCTTCTCCACATGAAGATGCCCCACTGTATCCCCATTCACCTGGTTCTCAGTATCAACAGGTAAAAGCTCAGAGCTGAACCATTTATTCAGAGTTCCAGGTTACCTGTTTTTTTTAGCTTTTATGGTAACTTAAATTATAGGCATTTAGCCAGAAGCACATTATTGTAAAATATCACACTTGGAGTAATAAAGATAAAGGTACACCCCCATTTTGCCAGAAACAGTTTTACCACCAGTTTCGGGTGAGATTTTTCATTTTATTAGATCAGGGATTAATCATCCATAGAAAGAGCAGAGGGACAAATGTCATCACAGCCTAGTGCATACTGAATTTTATTCTGTCATATTGTTGACCTTGATCATATTTTGTGAGTTGCTTCCATGTTTTTAAATACAAAATACAGCCTCAAGGCTGGAATTTTAGTTTGGACATTTGGAAGGCTTCAGAAAAATGCAGATGGCTTTGTTATGTATAATTTGTGCTGTGAACACTGATCTCTATATCTTAAGTACATATAAAATCTAAATCTGTTTTTATGTTAAATGGCTGCTTTGTTAATATCTTTCAGTGGAAAGCCAGATCTGAAAGAAATCATAACCAGTTTTTTTATTGAATTTACTAAATTAGTAGATCCCCCACTTAGTTGCCATTTTTTGTTACAATTTAGTTTATATAGTCCAAATCTGCTAATATAATTTCCTTTCCTGCCCAAACCCATTTTCCCTCCATCTTGCTTTCTTTATTTGGTGTTCTCAGCAGAGCAGTTGGTAAGTTATGCAGATTTTCCCACTCTTTTCTGAGCTCCTGAGTTCAGACACATACCGTAACCTCACCATTACCTGTGTGATGTGTTCACTTTCTTGCAAGAGATGGCATTTCTCACTAACACACACAATCCTCATATTCCTAGTTTCTACACAGTTGGTTAAACTCTACAAAACAGTGCATAGATGAGATGTTTTCATTTGCCAGATGTGTGTATGACTTATTAAATTGGGACAGAGCATCTGGATAAAACCACTGGTCTAGATTTCATTCAGTTCTGTAGCATTATTCTCACTCTTAAAAATTAAAGTATGCTGCATAAATACAGGTATGCTTTTTCCCTTGTCTCCGTAAAAAATTCAAGCTGGTTGAGTCTGTTGATAAAATATCTGCACAGTTTTATGTCTGCAGCACATAGGCAGCCTCTTTTCATCTCCCTTTCTTTCTTTCTTGCTGCTTTTGCTTTGCATGTAAATGTTATTCAAAAGCTGAGATGACTGTTTCAACTGATCCTTTTATCTTTGTAAGTTGAAAGTTTGTTTACCTTTTGTGTAAATGAAAGTGAACGATGTGATTCAGAGGAATGAAGAAACTGTGATGTGTGTTCATATATATACTGCTGCACAAAAAGTTCAGTGTGCTTGAGTACTTTTCAGTAGTCCGAATGTAAAGGGGTAAAGCGGTTTAGGAAATGGTCCACAAGTTTAACGTCCCTTTAAAATGTTTATGCTTTATTATAGAATAACCATGTGCATGGACAGCCATATACAGGCCCGGCAGCACATCATATGAACAACCCTCAGCGAACTGGCCAACGAGCACAAGAAAATTATGAAGGCAGTGAAGAAGTTTCCCCACCTCAGACAAAAGATTAGTGAAATGCACATAATCAATTAACTTGCTCCATCAAGACTGTGCACCCAGGCCTTACAGTCCAACCTTTCTCTGTGTCTGGCTAATATTTAAAACTAGAAAAACTATTCCTAATCAACATGGAGTGGAGAGTCTATTCACTGTCTTATCTGCAGAAAATTGCTGTCAATATATAACCCGCCTGCAGTGGAAAGTGTATAGTGTTTTGTAATAAATGGCCTGATGCTAATGTGTAAATGGCAAAGGTGTATATAGTATATTAATGTTTGACTGTTAATTCTTGAGCAAGAAACATTTTTTTTGTCTTGATGAGACTCACAGATCTACAAAAAACAAAAAAATAATTTCTTGATATATCTGCTGCGCTCTGCAACCAGTGTTGCCTGCCTCATGGCAGTCGGATCAACTCCTTTACAAAAAAGCCTATCCATGTCAACCACAAAAATAGTTTCATGTTAATTCTTTGCCACTGGAGTCGATTTTACTATGAGCAACGTAATGGCTGGTAACCTTTTAATTATTTGGTTGATGTGGAAAATTGGTGATGTAACATTGTTTCTAGATCTTTTTTCATTGCCTTTTTCATTCTGGTATTAGGTTAATCACTTTGAGGCTATAGTTATGCTGTAACATTTAGCATGGCTTCACACCAAGTTAGTGTAGCCAATGAGGGGGAAAAAAAATGTGACAGCAGTTGTCCCAATGTAACAACTGTATTGCTCAGAACTTTTTCTTCTTACACCTAGACTATAAAATGGGGAGGGAGAATGTGACAAACAAGTGGTTTTCAGTTTCACATATGTTCCTCACATCTGATGTTTGACAGTTCTGTCTCTGGGTGGGATAAAGAACACTTAGTTTTCAGTAATAGGAATTTAAAAGATTTAAAACAAATATGCAAAAATTTGCTATGCCAGGATGCCTGGAGCATAATAGACTGTATTTGGTGTGCTTGTTTTGTTTCTTTGGTAGAGCTTATTAGATATACTTCTAACACTTTCCTTCTACTGCATCCCAGTGAAGTGGAAGTCAACAAAATCACACAGTACTTGTGAGTGCCACTGCACCAAGTTAACTTGCTGGTTTTCTGCTCGTTCACAGTTCTACTTGAAAGTGAGAATTGTCTTAGCTCTTTATCCATTATACAGGAAATCTTAACATTAGAAGCAGGGTTTAATTATAAAAGAAACTACTGGTTAGTCAAATACAATTTTGAGGTATCTCTATTCCAGAATAAACATTTGTTTAAAGACGTCAAGAAACACATCAGTAAATACTGTATTTAAATGAAAATTGGTAACTTGAATGTGTGTAACTTTTTTGGAACCTGTCTAAAAACCAAATACCCCTGCAAAACAGATACAGCCCACCCTATACTATTTAAATATTTTGCTGTTTTATTTTATAGAAATTATTTTGCTGAATTCACAAATAGAATTTGATTTAAGAAGAATGTTTTGTCCTGTGGTGTGTGTTGTTTTGGGGTTTTTTTTAATGGACTGCACAGAAAGGTGAATTCTGTGCAGTGGCACTATGCTGAATTCTGGAACAACAGTCACATTGAGATTCTGTGCACAAAAAAAGAATTGGCCCTTAAGAATAAAATAATCAGGACAATTACACTGTAAAAGTTTCTTAATGTGATCTATCTTGTACTTTTTGTATGTTTTTATATATACATATATATATTTAATGAGCACAAACTTGATGGTGTTTTTTACAAATGATAGAAACAAAGCTGCTTATCAAATTAAAGGTCTGTAGTTTTGACATGAACAACGGAAAATTCAGTCGCAAGTGCATTCTTATGCATTTAGTATAATAAGGAAAGGACACAAGATTTTTTGAATATGCTGTATAGCAATGATTGCTTTTATGCTTCCATGCTTTCCCTAGTGCTCAAATTAATTCTGATTTTTTCATAGTTTTTTAATAACACCATTTTACCTGGTCTTAGTAAATTTGGATAAAGTGTTCCCATTTGTGTTTGGGAATACTTGTTGGAGGTTTTATCTCAAAAATTCTACCCTGAATACTCAAGTTGAAGTAGTTCATATTTATTTGGACCAGTAATTGTTAAACAAGCTATCTCAGAGGTGATTATGTATTTTTTACAATATAGGTAAAAATCTATAATGTGCTAGTTCAGGCTTGCCAAATGTGTTTGCTTTTAATAGTGCAATGATTGTAGAGACACGTCAGACCTGTGACACTTTAAGGCTGTGACTCTTCAGTCATACACACCTCTGTCCCTGAATTGAGAGTGATTGCAGTGGCACTTGTTTTTCAGGTGGCAAACTGAGAATGTTGTGCATCTTTGTGACTTTGAAGAAGGATAGCCTGTACTGTGTGTTGCAGCTCCTGCTTTTAAACAGATAGCTACAGTAAAAGGTGCAATGTTTTCACTCTGGGCAAAACAATTTTGAATTGTACTTAACAAATATTGTACAAACAAAGTTTCATATGCATGTTACTGTCACAGCATTTTGGCAGTGGTCATTTTCAGGCGATCCACAGTACCTCATTGTTGATGGCACACTTTAAAATAGTAGTCCTCAAAGTGCCTAAAGATGTAATTCCCCCATCACTAATTTCAGTCCTGTTTTTCTTTAGAACCGTTACTAGGGAATCTCTGGTCTTCCGTAAAATGAGCCAATAAATAGTAAAGCAATTACTCGCGTTCCTGACAATATAACATCAAGTACATAGAAACTGAAAATTCATAAGTGATGTTATATGACGATTAATATGTAGTTTGACCTAGGGAGAAATTCATAACCTTACTAAGCAAAGTTCTCCCTCTCGTACATTTGGATTGTGGTTGTTCAGTGACTAAAATAAACTTTTAACACTTGCTGCTGTGAGTGTTAAAAGGTCAGTACAGCCATATATGTAAAAGGAACTCAGTTACTGTTTGTGTATCAGTAAATGTCCTGTTTTGGTCACAGAACTGGTCACCTACACCTGTGTTATCCCGTTGACAACAATGAGATTGCCCAGGGTTCAGTCAGAGCTGAAGTTGCCATGCGGAACCTGATTTTGTGGTGATGCACAAGCAGAAAAGCTTGACTTGGAATATTTTGCCTGCTAACTACCAGCTCTTGAAATTTAAGTTCCCTATTTTTAAAGCTAGTGTCTATTGCTGAAATTGAGCCGGGAAGAAATTAAATTCCACAATGACATTTTGTATTTTTCTCACAGGGAAACTTTACTTCAGATGACATGAGAAAATTATGGTAATTTCTGTTATGCCTTCTCAGACACTTTGTTGTGCCTAGCTTGTGTGTTTTAGCATACGTATCATCAGAAAGCAATTTCAAAAAAAATTCTATATATTTCTTAAGTTCCAGGAGAGAACAAGATTAGCCATCCTGCCAAAGTTAATGGGAAAAATTGGCTGCTCTAGCAATTTACTTCATTTTTTTGTTTCAATAAATTTTGTCTGCCTCTGAGTCTTTTGCCAGAAATGAATAGGCTGATAAACTCTGTCAAGGCAAAATGGCTCAACATTTTTGTTGGCACGTGTTTCATTTACTAGGCATTGCAGTGAGGCTTTCCGATTAATCCATTTAACTTCAAATTAAAGTTAAAGACTAACTATATACATTAGAGGAAGAAGTGGCATGTTAGGAAATCTGCAGAGTAACCAATTAAGTGTTTAAATATCTTGGCTAGACATTGTTAGTCCACACGTAGAAATTCACATTGAAAGCAAATACACCCCTAGGGTGAAAAACATGCACCTTAATTTTTGGGAGGGTGAGATGCTGATGCTGTTCTCACATTTCTTAAGATGAGTGTGGAAGTTTCCTGTTTGTGGCCCTGCTCCAGCACAGTGTAATCAGGACAACAGTAATTTTGGCTCCCCAAAACTGGGAATTGGCAAGACAAAGGAGGCTTTCTGGGGGAGATGTAGGAACCATCTTGTAGATACTGTGTGCTGCACAGCAGTACTACAATAAACAGAAAGCAAGGTGAAAGAAACCCTGCTACATCCTTCTGCATGATTTCTGTTCCTCTTGCAAGTGGTCTCATGAGGAAGACAGGAGCAGACAGCTCTTTAAAGCTCAGTGCATTTTCTTTCTGTCTTGCAGCTAGAATCAGTCTACAGTAGTGCAGTAAAGATTGCTGTGCAGCAGCAACATGCCCTATGTATGCCCTCCATGCTGTTCCAGGCTGTTCATTATAGCTGCCTTCTATTGCTCTTTGGGGATTGTCATGTTAATACATTCGTTTATGCTGAGGCTTGCCCTCCTTACAGATCAGACAGCTCTACTGCACTAGAAGGGCTTTAACCCAATCTGAGCACTGTCACTTTTTACGCTATGTAACTTCTTAAGGTTTGTACTATAAATGTCTTTTTGTTTCTGAGGTTTAAAAATTTCCTTTGGACTAACTGTTTAAAAATGTCAAATAGCCGTTTTTTGTCCTTTTTTACAAGAGCAGGTGTTCAGTCCTGCCCCTGTAGTGTCTGTTCTGGTAGGCTGTTCAGGGAAGTGTGTTGACATGGATTCCAGCACTTAAATTCAGAGAATCCTCATCCTGTAATCTGATTTTTCCAATGCAAGCTGTGGTGGATCCATGGATTTCAAGAGCATATCTGTGAGTCCTGTTGTTTTCAGCACCATAAGAGTTGAAGTTGGTGATTCGGGGATCAAGCCAGATAAGTGAGTGGGTGGCACAATAGACAGCTACTTACTTGCTTTTTATTTACACTTATTTGCAGACAATGAGATAAAAACAAGCATGGGAGAACTGGTTACTGAAGGAGAAAAACACTCTCTAAGGGCTAACTTTTAATCAGATTTTAAATACCCAGCTGTATTTTTTTAGCTTTAGAATTCCTTAAAACCACATTTTGATAATAAAACTGACCTACAGGCTGTTTCCTTGGAAGAATATAATATAGCCTTAATTAGATCAGCACAATTCTGAAATGACAGTGTCGTTCTTCAATGGTCAAAATAATGTGCAAATATCTTCTAGTTTTTAGCAATGAGCTAACCTTGAGTAATTAAAATAGGAGAAAAAAGGAAAACAGGTTCTATGAATTCATCCAACATCTAACCATAGAAAAACATTCAGTGCAAGAAAATAAGACCATTCCCTTATTTTCTGTCTCTGTACTATTTTAAATGTCTGATAATGTTAATCTTTACTCTTACTTTACAACTGCTTTTCCAGTAACTTAGTTTATATTGTCCTAAGCAGTGTCAGCTGCACAGCTTGCAGCTTCCTGGTGCATTTGCAGTTACGTCCCCTTTAGTCCTTACCAGAGCAAAATCAAATGTTTGGTTTTCCCACACAAGCAGGCTCCCTGATCCACATTTCCATTTTCATTGTCGTGATGTGCTGTTTCTGTTTTTGTGCAATGACCAGGACCGGATGAATGCTTTCCAAGTGTGGTTTCACCTGAGCCATTAAGTGAGCAGTTATGTTTCTTTCCTGTAATTATACCTCTGTGGCTGCAGCTTTTAAAGGTATTGGCCTTTTTTGCAGCTTTGTTTATTAAAATGCTGCTCAGTTCTTGTCCGTCACTCCTAAATTCCCATCCATTGTTTTGTATGAGTCTTTCTTACCAAATTTCTCACTCTGGATTACTAGGCCAGCATAATTTTCTATTTAATGTTTTCCTGTTTTCTTGGAATTGAGTCCCTTCACTTGCTGTGATGTTTTCTACTTCCTTTTCTGCCTTCACCTACTGTTTTGCTCTTAGCCGCTATAAAAGAACCAGATTTGCCAGGCAGCCTGGCTGTCCAAACCAGAGCCTTTTACGCCTTGACCAGGTGGGCTTTTTCATCTCTTAAATCTTCCTAGAATTTATGTGGGCTATGAAGGCTTCATGCTACTGATGGGAGTCTTGAATTGAAATAGCATGTAGCTTATTGGGTTTTGTTTTGGGTTTTTTTGCTTCATTTTCTATCTTGAACAGTTAGTTTCTACAGGTGAATAAAAATGGTAGGTCTCGCTGGAATCTACTTTGGAAAAGAAGGCTGATTGAAAACTTGGACACTTCTTAATATACTTGATTTGTACTTTAAATTCTGGTACGTGCTTTCGAGTCCTTAGTCTTCTGGAAGCAAATTCAAAAGCTTAGAAGAATGAAGACTAGGTCTTCAAGATGTAATATTTACAAATTCTGTCTACCTGTCCTGCTGTGTGATTAAGATCAGGAATGGAAATATTTCACTGAAGGGAGAGAGGTCATGCTTGCAATCTCTCAGGCACTGGAGATGCTGAACGCACATTGGCTGGGCTCACGCACCACTGGTAGCAGCGGGGTCTGAGCCCTCCCGGTGTGAACTTGAATGAACCACAGGTTTCCCCAAGCACGGAAGAATTGATTTCTAGCAGGAAGATGATGAAGTAGCATATGAAGCATTTAGTATTATTTTTCGTCTCTAAGATCTGCACCAAGTTGAATCATCTGGGCAAGTAAAGACAGGGAGTGGGCTGAGTGAGAGGCTTCCAAGCTTGTTCTGTTAATACTTTCTACCTCTTGATGTTCATTGCTGAGCTGCTGCAGGCTGAGATGCCATTAAGTGGCTTCAGCAGCATGAGTTTCTGCTGGGCAGGCACAGGGTAGTCCCTGCCTCTCCCCCTAGGGATGTACAAAACCATTTGAAACGTGACTCCAAGAATTAGGTACGTATGTTTGCATCAAAACGAAGGATCTGGCATTTTTTCAGGTGGCACTGTATGGACTTACAAACACTTCTACTCTGTCTCTCATGCTACCTCCTTACCCGTGTAAAGTAGCATAAAATCCTTTCACAACCAACATTGTTCAAATAATGCAGCCACAGGCTGGACTGGGCTTAAACCACGACAGAGGTATATCAGTTTCTAGCTATGTCAGTATGTTGAGGGGTTAGAATGGGAGGAGGGATGTCAGAATGTGAAAAGCCAGAATTCTGAAGATTGGCCCGGGTGTTTGTCTAGAAAGAAATGTTACTGCTTGCTGCCGTGGCTGTGTGTAAGACTGAAATGCTGAAAGAGAACTGTGTAACCCTCCCACTCAGAGTCTGAGAGAGACCTGGCATTGGCTTTCTGAACACTTCTGCAACCTGAACCAAAAAACTGCTGTGAGAATGTAGACTTACCATATAGCTATGGAAGAAAACTTCAATCGATCGTGTCACTTCTCTCGGTCTTCAGAGCAGTCAACATGATTTTGATGTAGGTTTTAGATTATGTATATATAAATCTGATTGAAGTACCAACAGAAAACCATAAATAAAATGTGGACTTAACCTGAAGAATGGGCTAGCAGAGGACTCTTGTGTTGAATTTATTAAAATATGATACAATGAAGTTGATGGAAGAGACTCGCTGTGATGAAGACAGGGAAGTAAAGCTGGGGTGTCCTCAGCTTGGGAAAGTAGCCAGGTTTTCTGTTGCCTTTGAATCTATTCCAGCATGTAAGGACTGACTTGACCACACTGTAGTCGCTGGAGAAGAGGTGTCTGCGTGGGAACATTCTGGGGGGTCGCTCCATCTGCGTGCCTGCTGAGGGCCAAAGGCTTCTGCAAATTACAATTGCCTTTCCTCCTTTCTGCGTGGTTACTCCAGGGACAGGTGTCCTTTCCCATTCCTGGCCGTTAGAAGCCGATGCAGGCTGCCAGGTAGCTCCTGTTAGCCCTGTTTCCCCAGTGTGACTTTACCCAGTTGCTTTGCTCCGACAGAGCCAGGGCCATCACATAAAAGTAATTGGAAGCGGGTGTAATGGAGAGCTAATGGAAACCTCTGGTTTGCTATGTTTGCTCTGGGCACTGGCTTTGAAGACATGTAAATGAAAATACAAAACAATGGCAAATTACTGGGAATTTGTAGTAATAATGTTAAATAAAAAACAGTTTAAACAAGACAGCTGTGGAAGCAGGTAACACCTGAGTTTATCGTAGCTCTGTTCAGTTGATGTAACCCATCTGAGTGGAGGTGTCTGTGAATTCTCTGGACATCAACATTTAGCAAAAAATAAGAATTCAACGTAAAGAATTCAAGGTAAATTTTGGATGTATCTGAACAGATTATTACTAGCTGGGGGGTGCTATAAACTGGGAGAAGAAAGCTTTTGATCAAGACAGCACAAACTTAGAGCACCTCCCATGAATGTGTTCTCACATTTCTCTCTGAGAATTCATTAATGCCACAGGACAAAAGGGCCAATTTTTAATTTAATTTCTCTGGAGACTGAAATACATAATGATTTATTGATCACCCAAGTCCCTGAAACTTTTCAGAAATTGGGCTCCTGTGGTTTTTGCATTAGCTGAAAATATGGCCCAAAGCACTTTTCTTGGTTTTGATACTCCCTTACCTGGTAACTTTAACATACAAAGTCAGCATTATACTTTTGTTGCTGAAGCTTCTTCCCCTCTCCTTGCAAAAACTCTGGATGGATTTGCTCTGACCTTTTTCCCCCTCACGGTTTCTTTGCATGTCCCTTTGTGTTTCCTCCCTCTTGATTTATCAATTGAATACTGTCCCACTTGATACTGCTGTTTGCACCACTGTTTTGTTCTTTCATGGCAGGAAGCCTACGCCAAGGATCTTTCCAGCCAAGGTGGTAAAAGAAGGCACCTTGCTTTTTTGCAGTGTCCCCATCTTGTTTAAATTCTGATATCTACAATGTAAATTCAGGAGCCGCTACCCTGTTCAGCTGAACCTCCTGCCTGCCACGCTCCAGTCAGCGCACGCAGAGACTGGCGACTGACACCAACTTCAGTCTCATTTTCCATTCAAGTCCTTTTACAGATTCTCCCAGGCTGAAGTAAGCTTGTTAGTAACTCAACAATGTATTTTTATGTTTTTTTTTTTGCTCTTGCAACATTTTTAGTTATCATAATTTCCCCCATTATGTAATCTGATGGAGTTGACCCTCTACAGCTTAAGTTAGACCTTCCGTTTGGAAAACATATTTCAGCTTATTGCAATTTTTCCTTTTAGGTTGGTTTCTTTGGAGCCTCTGATTTTTTCAGTCATTCACTTTCTTGAATTCCCTCTTCTGGCCCATTTATTTTCATAAATTTTTAGCACCCATGGTGCTAGTCCTGGGAGGAGCATTTTGCCCCTGAAGAATGTTTGTCTCACATTGTGGTCACTTGCTGGTATCACTGTGGGTTTTAAATTACATGTTACTGGACTTAAAGTTTCTAGAGTAAATTTCTTCTCTGAAAGAATTAAATTCCAATATTGTACATTTGTAAGAATCTGTTGCTTCCCTAGAAAATATATGGAGTCAACACATGGTTGGAAACCATAGTTTCTGCGAGTCCTACAGGCGCGTTTAATGCAAATTGTTCTGGAAGTTCTTTGCACCAACAGCCTGAAAGAATAGCTCTCACGTGAGGAAACTTGTCATGTATTTGAAGTATTGTGAAATCTTTTTCTTAAACTTGGCTGTTGCCAACATTAAATACTTGTAACTGTTTTTGTTCTGATACTGTTTGGGAGAAGGAGCATTAAATTTAGATTCATGTCAGGAGAATAGAGGCACATAAGCAAGAGCTGCTGACCTCATCGCAGAAAGGTAAGACAATGAACTTTCACAAACTTTGATGGTATTAAGAGTATGTAAAAGGAAACAAAACTTGTCAAATTGCTTTTTAGATTTTTCCCAAATGTGCTCTTTATCTTCCTTCAAGGTGTCTGGGTTTTTGAATCACCTTTTCCTCTTGGGACATGTGTTACCAGCCATAGTTACTATTTTTGTGGGTGGATATGGAAAATAAATAACTTATTTATCCTTGCATTCCACTGGATTCCTGTCAATATAAGGTCATACTCATACGTGAACTGGCACGGGCATTTCAGCATCAGGGGCATTATTTTGATTGCTGTATGTGAACTACCATGTACTTTAAGGGAAAGACTCTCTTGCTCTGAGGAGCAAAAATGTGTTTGTATTTTAATATTCCATTGTCATGCCTTCCAAAGGATTGTTGCCTTACCGTGTTTGGGAACATCTAACTAAGGAATCCACATCTATTCTGGAAGCACTTTGAGCTGTGCAGGAGTTAATCACAACAGACTGAGTATGACTAAAGGAAGCCTGCAGGGCAGTCAGCCTTGAGAACCTGGACCTTGACCGACCCTTCCCTTGGTGGCTGGCTCACACCAGAGGCAACACTGGCTGAAGTCAAGACACCAGCCTGGTACTGGCTGCTGCACTGGAGCTGCAGCAGGTGGGGGACACACTTATCCCCTGATGCCAGTTTGTTTTGCTGCAGCAGTTACACATGTGCCAGGGAGCCCCCAAGACCTGGGCACCCCCCCACAAAGGGAGACATGCCAGACAGGTGTGCTGCAACCCAGGGCACACACACCCAGCTGCAGCAGCACCAGTCTTGGCTGAGCTACGGAGCAAGTGGGGGTGGTGCTGTGGTGCCCTCAGCACTGCCCATCTTCAGCAAAGCCAGAGGTGCTGCAGAATGGGAACAGGAGTCCTTGCTTTAGGCATCCTCAGAAGTAAAGGTGAGCTCCGGCTGCTTTGATATTTTTTTTTCCCTGTCTCCAAAGGCCAGTTCAGGAAGGTGGCTGTGAATGAAGTAGTCTTGCAATAAAACCCACAACTTTCATCTCATTCCCCACCCCTCCAAAAACGCTGGCTTTCCACAAGACAGCTGTTCTCGTGAGAATACAGCTTCCTAGTGTGAAGCACTAGTGCTACTAACGGTGTTACTACACTACCAAGGAATATCCAGTCATGCGAAGCTGGACCCAAATCTGCTGAACAGCCTGGAAAAGACAATTTTGAAGCTGTTTGCCCTTTCCAAACACAGATGAATAAACGTGGGAGGTTGTGTGATACCCCAAACTTTCGAGTTTGTGCTCAGAGGGAAGTATTTTTGATTTGGTTGAAGCTTGATGTTTCAACTAGAAGGCCCAAACTTGACAGCAGTAGTAGCTGAAAACACGTCCTCTGCAAGGAGTGCTACTACTCTCACAAGCTTTTCCTCCAAAGAAACACAGCAGATAAAAATGGAAAACAATTATGTTAGAGCCTAGAGACTTGGAAAACCAAGCACCCTTTAGCCACTTCAGCTAGATTTCATAGGTTAAACCAGGTAACCAAGGGATTATGTGATCAGTCTGTAACTCTTTGTCAGGCCTAAGCAACCAGCCAATGTTAACATCACATCAGGGCACAAGAGCATCTACACAAAGCGTTATTCCAGCCCGTAGTACCTGCTTACAGACAGACAGTGCTGGCTGAAAGAACTCCTGCTCTTCAAGGTGGGGGGGTGGAAACTTTATCTCCACTCACAACTTCCCAGCCACACTTCAGCAACAGATAACTTGAACTTCACACAGAACTATGTTTTAAAAATTTATTCTGTAAACTCCATACTGGGTCTTTAGTTCTCCTTCTCCTGCACAGTCTTTGTTCCACGCAGTCTGCCCGTACGACGGGCAGCAATGAGACCAACTTTGCGCCCAGCAGGAGCATCTCTCCTGATGGTTGAAGGCTTGCCAATGTGCTGATGGTTACCACCACCAAAGGGATGCTCTACAGGCTGTGGAAAAGGAAGGCAAGTCGTCAATAAAATTAACAACAGAAATGAGTGATGATGTTTAACAGAAATAACCTGATTTAAGGGAACAAAAAATTTAACTGCTTCATTTTTCATACAGCATAGTAGCTATCAAGTGCTGCTAACTGCCCTAATTACGTGTGCAGTTACAGGGTAATCTGTGAAGCTTTCTTTCCAGACACATGCCAGACTCCTCCCCACATCAAACACCTCCTTTCTAACCCTTAAAAAAGTGAAAACTCCAGTTGAAAAAAGACTCACGTTCATGGCCACACCACGGACACGCGGCCAGCAGTTTCTCTTTGCCTTGTATTTGTGATAGGCACGGCCAGCCTTCAGGATGGGCTTGTCAATACGGCCTCCGCCAGCAACAATTCCTGAAAAAAATTGCAGGAATTGTAACATGCAAATATGAGAGTGTACAACAAAGTGCTTAAGAACAAGATTAATTCCGAGTAATATTCACGTTCTAAGAATAAACTTGGGAAGACCAATCTCAAACAATCCCAGATGTGTGTTCAAACTAGTATTTTCCAGCCAACACTAACAGCAAGATTGGACTCAAGCTTTTAGCCACACATTAAGTGGTCTGCAAGGAGACACGTCCTTTTAATTACTGTTTTTCAATTCACAAGTACAGGATTGAGTTTAACACTTTCTAAGGCTAATGCCGGTCTTATTGCTAAAACTTCTTGAGTAACATTAACAATAGATTTTCAACTAAAGTATGAATCTAAAGAGCTCAGGGGACTTTCAAGAACTTTAAGGTTTAATACCTAGTTACTTCATGATCTATTTAGTCAATTTTACTAGAGTAACAGACCAATTGCTCACTTTGATGTCTTCTACTCACAGGCAGGCAAGTGTCGCTTGACTGACCGAGTACAGCAGCCATCTCAGCTGTCAGTCAAGCGTACAACAAACCTGGTAAAACCTCTGCTTCTTGACAACAGTATTTTCATTCCTTGCCAGACCTTCACCAAACTGGTGACACCTTCAGCAGCTGAGCACCTCCAGCGTTACCCCTATAGCCTCAGCCAGCCTATCAAAAGCAGGAAACCACCAATGCCATTTTCTGCAGAAGTTCTTCCTGAGGACTGCAGATTTTACAAGCTGAGCAATTCCATTACAGCTTGAGCACAACGAGCATCTATTTTTCTGTCTCCTCACTAGGTCAAACCACCTACAAATGTAAGCTACCACTAACCAAAAGTCATACAGGCGTAATATACAAGTTAGGCACCTGTGCACAGACTGTACCTGTGCATGATCCTGGGTCCAGCCTGTAAATTATGCTATTTTCAAGACAGCATTAGAAACTGGGGCCCCATTGGAAAGCTTGCTTAGCAGTACACAAACTCAGTGACAAGACCAGTTCATAGTTGTCACTCCTTACCAACAATAGCTCTGTTTGCAGAAGAAATCACTTTCTTGGAGCCAGAAGGCAGCTTCACTCGGGTTTTCTTTGTTTCAGGATTATGAGAGATAACAGTGGCGTAGTTTCCAGAAGCACGGGCCAGCTTTCCACGGTCACCAGGTTTCTCTTCCAGGCAGCACACAATGGTGCCTTCCGGCATGGTGCCAACAGGCAGAACATTGCCAATGTTCAGCTGAGCTGCAAAGAGCAATCAGAGCATCAACAGCTTCATTCGGGCTCCTGTACTTGAATTACAATTCTACTTAACATCGGCCCCCATGCACAGAGGAAGGGCACCACATAAATGCTTCAGTTAGAAACAGGCAAGGGCACTTTTTGACTTGAAACACAAGTTTGACATTCAGTGTAACAGAAAGGCAGGCAAAATGGGACTCTAGACAGAATAATCCAAACACTTGACAAAACTGCGGTTAGGCTTGTTAATCAGAACTGGTTGCCTGAGGAGATCGCAATCTCCAAGAAAGAAAACTAGGTTTGCTTAAAGCTAGTGGAAGCCACTGCTTTGTGATGGCTTGCAATGGCACTTAAACGTTTATCTCAAACTTCACACATTCAGATGACATCGGCTTTAGGGTTCCAAAACTGCCCAGGGCAACGCGCTTTCCGTCTTAACTCACCTTTCTTGCCACAGTAAACAAACTGACCAGTATGAATACCCTCAGCAGCAATGAACAGCTCGGTTCTTTTCTTAAACCTGTATGGGTCACGGAAGGCAATCTTGGCAAGGGGAGCACCTCGGCCAGGATCATGGATGATGTCCTGTTGGAACAGAGATGTGCTTTAGAACAGGTTACAGCATCTGCCACAGGCTCTGCAGAAATCAAAGAACTAGAAAAACTGGAGAGGATTACTATTGAGGTAATTCTCACTAGGCTCCCCCTTTCTCAGAGGAATCTTTATTTCTCCTGACATGAATGAGCTGAAGATTCACATTTGTAACAATACAACCTCAAGTATCTGTATCACAAAATTACTCTAGCTAAGTGTGCTGCTTGAAACTAGTTGTGTCTGAACTGTTTCATTCCCACCATTCTACAGATATCAGATCTCTCCATACTAAGAAATTCACTAGTTGCCCAATCACCTTTGGGTGATTTTGAGACCAAGCTGGACACAAGCAGCAATTTCTCCAAGTGTTTTCTAAGAATGGAAGTGTTTCTAACCTTCTGATATTAAGGATACTGAAATTATAGAAGCCCCTAAATGAGGGCACACAGACTGTTTCTTCTTCTCTTGGAAAAACATGTCAATTTTGTTCCTGAAGTGCACTGAGATTTCAACACACAATCATCTATTTACACTACAGCTAAGTGACCAAAGCTCCTTAAGATGCATCTGTTTTTTAGAAAAACCCCGATATTGTTGGTGTTCAGTATTAACATGCAATGAATTATGTGGACAACTCTCCTCACCCATGTCTGATGAGGTACGGGGAGTTCTTAGTCGATACAAAAGCACACTCGTATTCCTACATTAGCAAAGCCCTAACAAAATATCATACTGCTGTCTATGTGCTCCCAGATGCTTCATTCAAATGTTGTCATAAATCCCAGACAGCTTAACGTTTCAAGGAACGTGCATGACCTATTTAACAAAAGATCAGAAACCTGAATAAGGCACATCCAAACGGCCGGCAGCACAGCTGACCTCAAACCCCTGACACAAGCGCAGGGAAGGGACACGCGTGCTCCGGGCCCTTGCCACTGGACGGAGGCTGCTGAGGGCCCTTCCAGCCGCCCACCCGGGGACGGGCACCCA